GCCAAATTTACAGAAATTTCTATAACTCCAGAACTGATCAACCAAATCTTAATGAATTATATATGAAATAGGGGTAGAAAAAACTGAAAAATATAATAGAATTAATAAAAATTGTTAATAATAAAGGGGTTACCGATTTCTGTTAAAAAAAGGTTTACCGAAATTTTTTATTTTATTAAAAAATTGTGTATTATAGTTTTATTATCTAATTAAGACATATATAGAAAATTTCTAAGATTTTAAATCTTCAAGTTTCTGCTGTCATAGAAATTTGGAGACCGAAAACCCTAAAGCAAATTTTGATTTTTTAAGACTTTTAATTCAAAAATGATTTAAAAGACTGCATCGTTACGATTCATACTTTGTATACCTCTGTTGCCATCGATTGCATAATATCGGTGAACTCCCCAGGTAAACCCAGCCTTGATAACCTCCTGGCCGATAAATTTATACTATTGAATTTGGCGATGATCGGTAAAGGGGTTTTTTGCAAGTAGAAACCTTTGCTCACAAAGCTTCCTCTATGAGGAAGCCAAAACAAATAGAGAAAGCTTTGTGAGCAAAGGTTTCTACTTGCACACTTAAAAACTATGAGGAAGCAATGTGCAGGTTTCTACTTGCACACTTTTATGTATATCTACATGTATTAAACATCCGGAAAATCTACTCAATATTTATGTTTCATAGATATTTTCAAGAATGTTGTTGACGCGCGCACGCTATTTTGTCGTGATAAACGTCTATATCGGAGTTTATCAAAGCAGATTATATTATAACACGGTATAAATAATTGGCGTAAATAATAAGCTTACTTTCTCACGTTAATTTTATACAATAAGAAATCGTTGGAAATAGTTATTTGTGTAACAAGTGCGGGAAGTTGAGAATTGGACACGAGTGCGGAGTGGACGCACGAGCCGAAGGCGAGTGCGATCACCCGCACGAGTGTCCAATTCTCATCCCGCACGTGTTACACACCCTATTTTATATTACAAAGTGCGTGGAAAGTGGCCCATTATTGCGCGCGCGTCATCTGTGCGACGGATGGCCGATTCCATACACGAGTCAAAACAGTGCGGTAATGTTTACATTACCGCACAGTTTCGAAGAAACAGTGCGGTAATGTTACATTACCGCACTGTTTTGACTCGTGTATGGAATTGGCTATTTGTCACACAGATGGCGCGCGCGTAATGGGCCACTTTCCACGCACGTGTGATATAAAATATAATAAATTAAAAGTACTTATTTATTAAAATTTTTGGTAGCAGTAGATAAGTCGGTTCATTCAAAAATTTGTTTTTAAATAAATCAATTTTTATTTATTAAAGTCATATAACTAAACAACTTTTAATTTAAATAATTTAAAGGTTTAAAAGTGTCTTTAAATTAAATGAAAAATCATTAGACACTTTTTAAAATTAAAAATATTTAACTTTGGGGTCCTGTATTTCGAAAACTACTCGTCATCGGACTTTAGCCCGCGAAAAACGATCTAATATGAATCTAACTAAAATCATATTAAATCATATTTAATTTGGGTAAAATTCAAATTAAATCCAGATTTTATATTAAAATTATATTTGTTTAAATATAGTTTTAATTTGCACTTATTAAAATCAGTTATGTAGATTAAATATTATCCACAATAAAATAGGGCTTTAATTAAAATTTAATTAGATCACTTATGTGGATCATATAACACTTCAAATCAAATATGGTTTTAATTTGTATTTAATAAGATAACTTATGTGGATTATATATGATCCAGAACCATGCATGATGCAGAATATTTATATATAAGATTTTAATAAAAAGTTAATGTGTTCTTCGATTCAATTGCGGCTTTAACCCAAAGGGCCTAGCGGAGTAAGCATGTGAAATCGGCCCTTGATCATACAGAGCTGACATTAATGTCACAAGTTAGTACCAATATGATAAAACTTTCCACCAAATATTATTTTAAAAAATTCATTTTTTTAGAAGTTATGCAGGGAGAAAGTAAAATAAAGAAATATATTTTTCTCGAAAACCACTTGACCGATCTTGATGAAAAAAATATATGTTATGTAGACTAATAAAACTAATTAACAAAAAAAATGTCCAAAATGTTTGCCAAAAAAAAGACCAAAAAAAAAATATTTGAATTTTTAAATATATTTTTTTAGGGTGATATTTTCGAGGTACCCCTTTGAAATTTTTACGAAAATTTCTCTTAAAGTGTCCACTATAACTTATATTTTTTTCAATTTTTTTTAAATAGTGGAACATAGTTAAAAATACGAAAATCGTAAGCGTCGCGTCACTCCGGCGCACAGTGCAGTGCCATTCCGCGTTGCGGGTGTTCGATGTAACTTTACTAGCACATATGTACGTCTGCAATTAGCCTATAATATGTATACTTTTCAAATTTTATAGTTTCCAGAGTTTACCACGTGGAGGTTGCAGTACGGTTTTAAACTCCTTATTGGGGTGCTTTTTTAACGTGAGTCCCCTCGCCTTTCACTACGTTTCCG